TTAATCAATGATGAATAGATTTGTGATATCGATATATTATAGACAGACATGCGGCTTATGTAAATCAATTGGCCGGGTAATTTTAAAGTATTTTTTGAGAAAAAGTTACAAATGCAAAAAATCAATGAATACTAGAAAGTTAAATTAAAATCTCTTATAGTCATATATTCCTCATACACGATATTCTGAAAGAGTTAAAGAAAAAACTAGCGATTTGACCCAGGTCGCGGATGGGTGAGTAACTATACATGTCGCAAAAACTATTTCGTCATTGATTTTAATATGAAATCGCTGTAGTAACTACCGTAAGTGGTTTCATATCAAAAATCAATGTATATGGGTAACCCAGGTTGAGGTATTTCCACCCGGGTAGTTCAACCCGCGGGTCATCTTTGACCGACCTACGGATGACCAGTGGACTTGTATAATTTTTATAGGAGGATTCCAAATTCTAGGTTAGATCCATCAGATTTAGGCGGCATTTAGCAATACAAGTCAACCAGCTGGACAGCTTCATTTAATGAGTGGGCTATGACTTCATAAGTAAAACTTTTAGTGATCTTGGAACAAATTAGTTAATTCCGGCCTCACTGATAATGTTCAATTAGTCCAAGATATTCCGACAAAGAAAATCTGGAACCTCCCTTTATGAGTGGGAAGTTTTGGAATGGTAGATAGTCAATGAACATAAAAGACGAGCAGGTTGTTGTGAAATTTCGAAGGATTAAATATGGTTTACCCGTCGGGTGACCCATGTGAAAGGCTTTTTAGTTGACCCGGGTGACATATGGTCCACTCGCCGGGTGGCGGGTGGTGACTTTAAATGAGTCAAATCACTAAAAAAAGGCTTCGTCTTAATTTTAACATGCATCAAAACAAAAATGGTTATTAGTAAAATAACTATCTTTGTTTTTAGAAATTGAGATTTTGAGTTAGGGCATTTGAGGCAAACTTGCGTGAAATATCTGGATTTATATTTTAAAATATTTTTAAGTTGACTTGGTTTATTAAGGGTATTCTCAAGCAGCTCCCTTGACGTAATTTGATAAAGATCAAGATATAATTTAATTTTTTCGATTAATTGAAGTAACTTTTATGACGATTCTGCTGCAAAATTTATGTGAAATACAGATTTTAACTAATCAAAGCAACTCTATATAAAAATTTAAAATTTTGCCTACGAAACTGCCTTATGTTCTAATAAAAAAAATTTACTGATACAAAGATTTTATTACAGTACTCGATATTTCGCTTCAATTGTTTTTAATTCACGTTACACCTGTTCTCTAAGATACTATAGGCTAAAATTCAATTGATTTCTTGCTTCATTCACCAAGTTAGCTACTGCTCAGCTCGGTATGAGATTGGTCAGCAGAGCTGAAGGATCTGTCCAGATTGGTCACAGCTGTTTTGGACATTTGAAAAGCTGAAGACCGAATCAATAAGTTATTGATGTAGGCCGATGTCGGTAACTTATTGATTGGGTTGTTGAAAAATTTCTAACTGTTCCAGAATTTATGAAAATTAGCAATGAGCTGAACCGAACTAACTGTTTGCATCATTATTAAGGATGATAAAAGCCAAAATTATAAATCTTTAACATTAATGCGTAATTTTTTTATTTTATCAAGACACTAAAACATTAAAAATGGAAACTGTAGCAACAATGTCATGATAGCAAGATATCATTATTTATAACCATTAAAGGTAAGAAATAATTATGAAAAATAAAGCCCAAACTAAAACGAAGGTTATGCGAAAGTGACTCGAAAAGGGCCGTGATTATTATCATCATCGCTATTATTATTGTTATTATCATCATCATCGCTATTATTATTGTTATTATCATCATCGCTATTATTATTATCATCATCGCTATTATTATTGTGGTTATTATTATCATCGTTATTATTATTGTGGTTATTATTATCATCGTTATTATTATTGTGGTTATTATAATTATTATTATTATATCTAGAATTATCATCGACTAAATTTTGAAGTTGAGCTCGAATTGAATCTCTCTCCCGCCGGATACGGTCATATCGACTTTCATGAAAGTAATTGTCAGAAACGTTAGAGGTTACTCGCTCCATCCAAGAATCACGTTCTTCTCTCATATTTACTAATTCCCGTTCGAGTTGACGAATACGACGGACATGTCTATAATTGCAACAATTAATAATTATAACTTTAAAATCATTATTATAATATTATAATTACCGTCTGTTTTCATCCTGAACAGTTAGCAGAGCTTCATACAAAGGATCAGAAGAACCACTAGCTTGGCCGCGAGTAAGACGATGATTACTATAGTGGCGAGGCATATTGAACAATTTTTCTATAATTTTCATACGACTTTAATTTATATAGAGAAAACAAATAAATAATAATGATTTGCCGTATTGTCCGCAAAACTAATATCATAATTCAACAACATTTTGTTTACACGATAATACAGCATATATTTTTTTAATAGGACATAATAAATTCAGCTGAAAACATAAAATTGATTGGATAGTGACAAATTTTATTTATAGCATGTACACACGTAATTTTCACTGGATAGCAGGTAATTATAGGCATGATCTTTTAGTTAGAGGTTCCGTCAACTGGGTAAAAACAGATTAATTAGTCGGGCCTGAATACTTTATAATGATAAATTGATCAATTATAGAAATTCAAAACTGATCAAATCACATGATATGAGTGCTGCAGAGCGAAAACTTGTAACTGATCATAATGGTTTACTAAGGTCAGTTACAGGTTTTTGCTCTGCAGCACCCAAGATAAGAGTATGATTAAAGTAAAATTGTTATCATGGTAACCAGATTCTAAAAATAAGCAAGAATGCGCTGTATTTAGTTAAGAACTGATTTCTTATATTACGTAATTATATGAAACAATGCAACTCTAGTACAGGTTAAATTATCTCAAAAGTCCAATTTTGTATTGTTAGTATAAAACCTATAATTTACAATAAAGTATAACTTTATTTACTATTGTACGATGACCGCATATATGGACATTGTCACGGGTAATTTTACATTTTTTTGCATTTGGATAGAAAAAAATTATGATGGCTCAAAATTTTATTAAGATAAATTATTTCAAGTTTCTAAGTAAAAATATTCGGAACTAAAGAAAAAAAATTATTATTTTTATATATATTTATGGAAAAATGTATTTGTTAACTACCCACCAAAAAGTTATTAAAGGTAATAGTAATGTGGCGCAAACCAATTAAAAAATTAACAGCAATTTTTTCTGTGCATTAATTAGTTTTTTGTTTAAAACTTTGAACGAAGATATCTCAGCAATCACTTAAGAAAATTCGATAAACTTTTTTTGTTTTAATTCTACAAATTTGCATAATTAAAACAAAAAAGTTCAACGAATTTACTTAAGTGGTTGCCAAGTTATCTTTGTTCAAATTTTTAAGAAATTTTATTTTATTAATAGGCGTTTTAGTTCATTACCAAACTTTGAAGATATCTCGGTAACCACCTAAGCAAATTTAATGAAGTTTTTTTTTATTTTAATTCTACAAGTTGTAAAATTAAAACAGAAAAGTTCATTGAATTTTCTTAAACGGTTGCTCAATCTCTTCGTTTAAAATTTTTTTTAAAAAAAGTCTGCACAGTCTATAAAAAAGATAAGCTGCGTTAAAATTTAAATGAAGATATCTCGTCACGTATCTAAACTAAATTCGATGAAAACTTTTTTATATAAATTTGGAATTCAAATTAAAAAATTCTCATCGAATTTGACTAGATATTTGTTGAGATGTCTTCATTTAACATTTTTTTTAAAAAAAAGCTGCATATATACCAAAATACTAGTTACATTAATATTTTTTAAACGAAGATATGTCGGTGAATACATAATCAAAATCAATAAAATTTTTTTTATTTAGTTCTACAAATCCATAGAATTAAATAAAATTTTATTGAATTCAATTAAGATTATAACTATTTTTAACCGGTAGTGATGTCACCACCTTAATTTTTATCAAATTTAGGGTGCTGTTTTAAAAAACAATAAGGGTTAGGTATAAAGGTTCAAATTTTAATTAGGGTTAGTTTTTTGGGGTTCTGAACATTTTGCTTACCCCTGACGTGAGTTAGCTAGTAGGTTTTTGAAATACAGTACCCTGGGTGACATCACCCCGGGGAAAGTTAGCAACAGTCAATTAATTAAATATTGTCCTTGTTAAATTTTTAAAAAATTAACCTATTTATTAATAGAATTCGTGGGAAATACTGTATTTTAATTATTCTATACATGTGTATCAGTGTTTTATTTATTTACTTTTATTACAAAAATAATGTAATGAATAATAAATTATATCACGTAAAAAAAATATATACAAGTATAATAAAAAACGAACTATCAAATCATGCCACTATTACAGAACCAAAACTAATCTACCTATAAATGCCAACAAAACAGAAACACCAACAGTGACATCAACAATGATAACAATAGCAATCCCAATGCTAACTTCAATAACAGTGAAATCTAAACAAGGACATACAATTAAACTTGCACAAACACAATATATATATATATATATATATGGAGAAAAAATAATTCAAAAAAATCAAAAAGTAAAATAAAAATATAATTCAATTTGCTTTACAGATATTGAAAGCTATAAAAGAAAATTTAGTATTATAAAACATGCTAAAAAAAAATCCACCCATAAATGCCAAATACAATGAGAAAAAAAAACTAAGAATTTAAAAAAAATAAAAAAGTTAGTATACACTAAAAGAAAAAAAGAATATAAAAAAGAAAAATATATCAAAAATACAAAAAGAGTCTTCAGGAGGCAAGGATTTATTTCAAAGAACCACTTTACAAATACTAAATGCAACAAGAGAGAAATCTAAAAATCATTTTTTTTACAGTATTTTGAAATTCGAATCATAGCTTAATTGTTTAAACGTTTGCTTTACCCATCTGTAGTTGTTACTATAATCCCTGAACTGTAAATACAGACCTATCATGCTACAAGTTCATTACATAAATGTCACTTAGAAGCGTAGAATGAATAGACAAATGAAGCATCAATAAAACAAAGCGAACGATTATTTCATCGGTTATTTAATACATCATCAACATATACTGGAATTACAGAATATCAGTATAGTATAGGTGACCAGAATTGTATGGTATGGGGTGCACAATACCTATTTCAACAACACACTAATCTGCTATAATTTCTATCCCTAACCCAAATACGTATTACCGGATCAGTATGGTACGAATTTTAAATATAGTGTACTGTACGGAAGATAATTTACTGTAGTACTGTATTTTATAAAATTTTGAAATGATACGATACAGTACGAAGATATATATATCTAAAGATTATTTCATACTGGCTGTATAGAATGTGAAGTAAAGATCAATACAGTACGAACTATGTATGTATCATAAACACCACCAATCGGGGCATGGTGACAGTCGACTTTCTTTATATCGAACTTTTTTATAAGCTCATTCTATAATAAACTTTTTTAACAAATTTGTTAGTTCATTATAAGTTATCTGTATACAGTTTTTTTTCTTTTTATTCGTTTGCTATTTATTCAGTATTTCAATAAAAAAATAAAGATAGTCTCATATATAGAAATACAAGAAAACATGATTACAACTCACTCACTATAATGAAGTCCTCAGGTTAGGAAAAAAAATCCACACTACAACTTATATCAAGAAATACTAAATATATTTTACTAGATACGATTGAAATTTAAATAATTCCGCAATTCAAATTAAATTAAACTTTTACTATAAAGAAGTAAGCTGTATTTTGACAGGTTGGTTTATTTCGTTATTAAACTTGAGTATATTTTAGAACTCTATAATATTTTATAGCCTCGTTCGAATTCATGAATGCAGATTTGTTTATAAATCCAATTTTACAATCGAAACTTTTGATGCACTCAAATATTCTGTGCCAGGTTTGTGGCACAGCAATAATTTTTAAAGTTCATTAATTTTAGGGTTAGAGTTTAGAATAAGGTTAGAGGTTAGATGATTATATAGTAAAATCATTCAAAGAAAACTTTTTGTTAATGCATCAAAGGTGGTTTTTTATGAAGTTTTTTGAGAAATAAGCGATTTTTATCAAAACGAACGATTGTTTTTAAATTTCTTGATCGTGTTACGTTACACTCGATCCTTGAAATCTGATTTGTGGATCCGGAGATCTGCGCCACAATGATCGACAAAACCTGGCACAGAATATTTGAGTGCACTTTTGATAACGAACTTCTTTATAATGAATCCTTGACATATCAAATATGAAATTTTAAATTTTATATTGGTTGAGTTTGGAAAGTGTAGATTTTTTTTATGTATATCCGACGATTTGATATTATTTGAGTGATGCCAAGGCAAAACCTGTAAGCAAATTTTGAGGTATCAATAAGGTGAGTTTACCCCTGGGAAAATTGTGACATGGCGTATTAAATCATTGTATACAATCAGTGTTCTGATTATCCTTATTGATGCCTAAATATTTGCTTACAGGTTTTGCCTTGGCATCAATCATTTGTACAATATAATTCAAGTTTTACAATTCATTGATTGAAAAAATTTTTGAAATAAATTTTTCAGAAAATGTTATGACTTTTAAATTCGCTATTCTCATTATTACACAAATTAAAAAAACAAATGTAACAGAAACTTATAGTCACCCTTACAAAAAATTACTGAACCTGTTAAAAAACAAGTAAGTTATATTGTATATTATTTTTTTGTAAATGAATTTACGGTATACTAATGAATGAATTCAGAAGGAAACTAATTAAATCTTCGTTATCAAAAATCTGAAAACTCTAATTACAAGTGAATCCATTAATATTGAAGAACAAGAAAGGCTATTAAAGAATGAGCATGAAAAACTTGTGAGACAAAAGAATAAAATGATGAATTAAAAAAAAAGAAAGTAGGTTGTGAGAGAAACTTTAAAGCCTTTTATATAATTGAACATTTAATTAATATGCACTTTGCGAATAGTTACATCGATATATAATAATATAATGTTATTGTTTTTAACTAACATCGCAAATTCGAATATAAGGCGTGTATAAATTAATTACACTTTAGAGTGAAACTTTTTTTATTAATTTATCGTTATACTGTATATATCTATGTATCTATGTAATTAATTATTTAAAATTATATAATTTACCGGTCATAATCCTAACAAATTAGTGAGTCCGGTAAGCAATAAACTTGAATCCTCAATAGCAGGGGTAATTTTAAATTGCTTTCGGTAACGATATTAAATGGCTTAATGTATCACACTATACTGTCTGTCGTTTATAATTTTTATTCAATACAGTACAGTACTCATTTACATTTTACATATGGGCTAATTCGGGACATGCATAAAGTCTAGACTTAATGCCCTAAAAATGGTTAATGATGGAACAGGTTGTTTAACATCGTATTGCTATATTGTCTTACTAAATAGTATATAGCGATAGAACTAGACGGTATCTGTTATATCTGATATGTACGTACGTACCCATTTGACCATAATAACCATAATACTAACGTTTATTGATAAATTCCTCAATACGAATATCTCTTATTTATCAACAAATAAGACAATTAGGGTGTTCAGCATAAATACAATGAACAAAGTAAAGTTCTACAAGTGACGATCAAAGGCATAGTGCCCGTACCGCACTTGTAGAACCCCTAGACCAAAGTTAGTAGCAACATGCAGTAATGTGTCTTCAGTAAAAATAGAATAACCTAAAAAAAGAATAGAATTACAAATTTTTACTTCCGTTAATAATAGATTCGTGTATTGGTAGAATTTCCTATTTTTATTGGTCAATAATTATGTTTGGATTTACATAAATCACGTACAGTACATAGCCAATTACTTAATGAATTACTTACGTATGCACTAGAGATGCAGGCGAACACCGTAACTTGCAGTAACTATCGCCGTAACTTGTAACATAATAAACGGCAAAAATGCCGTAATTCACTATATTTATTACATATTACAGAGATAGTTACGACAAGTTACGGCGATAGTTACAGCAAGTTACGGAAGTTTCACCGCGCCTCTAGTATGCATTTCATTCGTCTGATTGGCTGATGTAAATCAATTGCCCGGGTAACTTATTTATACACTTTAAAGTACTTTTTTGGGGATGGACCGTTTGACTAATAAAAAATTACTGCAAAAGTCATTTTTCACTTCGAAAGAACGTTTATATTTGTTACGCAAAAATAATCAAAAATAAATCAGTAACCCCAAGAACTTTACTTAGAAGACTACCGTTTATTGGACCATACTGTAGAGTGAAGGTAACTGAAAACGTTTTCGTCTAAAACTATTTTATTACGTTAGATTTAGATAAACTTTTATTTCTAACTGTTTAATTTGAATAGGTACAAGCTCTTAATGGTAGAAGGTCCGGGCTCAATATTTTAATTTAGTCTGTTCTCGTAGTGTTTATGTCTTGTACAGTACATAGATCTTGTACGTAGATTCTTTAATGAGTTTGGGTTTATTACCCACTTACGCGTACCTATCTATTCTTTAAATATAAGAATACACGAAGTTTTTTTTTCGGTTCTAGTACTAGTATTAATAAAATTGTGTAATTTGATTGGTTAATTATCACGGGAAATCATACCAATTATATGAATGTCTCCTTATGAGTATGCATTTGCGTAATTTCATTTGACTAGACTTATGAAGTGCGTCATTTATTATATATATTGACATTTCTTATTGTAAAATAATCTTCCCGTGAAAAGATTGATTAGACGTTATCCATATGATTTTAAATGATAGTCTAGTCAAATACTAAAATTACACAAATGCGCTGTAATGGTATGTATGTATGTACTGTACGTTAATGTTTTCGCTGCTTTAGACAATACAAATAAATTTACTCTACGATATACTCTATACTATACTCAATTTGTCAAAAAACAAAATCCAAACTAACGCTAATTGAAACATAATTACACATACCAAAAACGCTCAATTACATTTTTTAGTTTAAATGTTAATAGTCAGCACAGAAGTATGACATTTTATCACAAAAAACATGATTTGTTAAAATGAACTTATATAAGTCCTGAAATACATGTAGTCAATACATCACGATTATATAATAACCGACTATGTTGAATGATATCAATCAAAAGAATGACTATATTTCTATTGATTAGTGAAGACAATTCAATCTCTTGTAATGTAAGTTATTCCAGTTTATGATCAAATGATTAATAATACATTTACTAAAATTTTAAAGTGACGTTTTTTTTTTTTGTGCCGTAAATTTTTTTTAGTTGTAAGATTCTTTTATGAATTCTATATATAAATTAATCATGCGAATATGCAAACAAAAAATTATAGTTTTGGAAATTTCTTTGTGCAAGTTATTATGTAATCGTGCTTTTCCGACAAAAAGCGTACAATAGCAATAGTTTCAGAAATATTTTTGACATTTCATGCAATGACATTCACGTAAAAGGTTAATGATAATCCTACAGCAAGTATATTTATGTATTTATGTATTCATATTTAGATTTTAAAATAAAATTATTTTTTATACCCCCCCTGTAATTTTAAAGTTTTAGTAAAAATGTATTGATAACTATATACTTAACTAAATTTATTTTAAAGTTTTAGTAAAAATGTATTGATAACTACAGTATATACTTAACTAAATTCATTTTAAAGTTTTAGTAAAAATATCTCGCTAATCACCTAACCAAATTCGATAAAAGCTTTTCATTTTAATCCTAATCCTACAAATTCTTAATCGAATTTGGTTAGATCGTTATCGAGATAGCTTGGTTCAAAGTTTTAAAAAAAATATTTAAAATGTCGGGCATAAAAAACTAGAAACTAGGGGTAAAACAGCTGATCTTTAAGAAATTAACAATGTCATAATACATAACCTTCCAAAATAGTAATCATATGACCTGTTTTTTGATATGCATATATAGCAGAGCTTCTATTCTACTGTTTCGTTATCAATTCGTTTGAACTTGATCTAAATTTATATCACAAATTATGTCTACACATTCAAGAAATTCAAACGATGATTCTGAAAAGACTGTTGTTTTCACCACCAATTCAAATGATGCTACTATAGATGATGAAAAAATATTATTACAAAAAATTGATATAAGAATCCTTCCTTTAGTTACGATTCTTTATACTCTCAGCTTCTTAGATAGGTATATGTTTTTTTTTAACTTGAAGTTTTATAATATAATCATAAATTTTTATTGTTTATCACTTTACGTTTAGGGTTAATATTGGAAACGCAAAACTTGCCCATTTGGAACGTGATCTTAATTTAACTGGCAATGAATATAATTGGTCTTTAGGAATATTTTTTTTGTAAGTTTTATTTCTATTATTTTTTATTTTTTGATTGTTAATAAATGAATAGTTTTTTTATCTTATTTGATTTTTTTGATCGTTGACAAATGAATGCTTTTTTATTTCACAATTTGATTTTTTGTCCTTTTATTTTTGCAGAGGCTATGTAATATTTGAAGTACCATCTAATATCATTTTGATCAAGACCAAACCTTCAATTTGGAGTTAGTTTCATATATATATATTTATATATTTATTTGTTAATAATTATTTGATAATGTAGAATTTTATTCTTATTACTACCTTTTTTTTTTATAGTTTCAACACTTATGGTCATATGGGGTACCATAATGATAGGCATGGCATTCGTAAGTAAAGATTTATTATATTAATCTGTTTTACAGGTTTCGCATACCAATTTCGTACACCCCTATCAATAACGTACCCACCCAAGTAATAGATATCGATTAGTAAATATTTAAAAGTAGGTCCGTTCTTGATGGGGCTGTATGAAATTGGTATGCGAAACCTGTAATTGATTCGTGGAATCTTACGCTATATTGTTAGAGTGATGATTAATTGTTAATTCTTTTACGTATATGTACACATTACCATTGTCGACTTACCAACATAATGCTACTTTAATACTGCAATTCAACTCAATTTATGATTTGAAAATCATGAATTATTTTCGAATTTTTCAAAGGTAAAAAACTTTTCCCAATTGATGGGTACAAGATTTTTATTGGGTGCTTTTGAATCTGGTCTTTTTCCTGGTGTCATATTTTATCTTACAAGATGGTACAAGAAATCCGAACGGAATTATCGAATTAGTTTATTTTTTGCTGGTGCTACAATTGCTGGTGCATTTAATGGTCTTTTGGCATTTTCAATCACAAATTTAAATGGTAAACTTGGTTTGCATGGTTGGCAATGGGTAAGTATTTATGTTTATTTTATAAAAATTTCTGTTTTATCAGATATTATTATTATTATTATTGTTGTTGTTGTTGTTTTTAGTGATATTAAATCATTTCTTAATCTCAGCTATTCGTTATTGATGGAGTGGTGACAGTCATAGTTGCATTTTTCTCTTATTTTTTAATCACGGATTACGCGGAAACTGCTACTTGGCTGACAGAAGACGAGCGAAAATTGGCCGTTGATCGATTACGATTTGATGCGGGGCATACCCATACAACTCATTTCGATAAACATCAGATTATCCAAGCTTTTAAAGATTTGGTAATGTTTATAAAAAATCTTTCTACTTAATCAATGTGAATTAACCCTATTTAATTTATCTTTCTACTTAATCAATGTGAACTAACCCTATTTAATTTATCTTTCTACTTAATCAATGTGAATTAACCCTATTTAATTTATCTTATTATTTAGAAAATCTACATATTCATGCTTTTATATTTTTGTTTGCTTGTTACTTTATATTCTTTCTCTTTTTTTGTTCCAACAATCGTAAATGGTTTGGGATTTGATATTGGTAACATTCACTTAACAACTTTATGTTTTATCTTGTTTATATTGCAACATCGATATACTTATATAATTTATTCTTATTACCTAATCATTTTCTTGATTATTATCTATTTTCTTGACTATTTTTATTAGTTATTTCCCAACTACTTTCCACTCCTCCATTTCTTTTTGGATGTGTTTCATCCATCTTGATAGCAAAATTATCTGATCATTATGGAATTCGTTGTCCATATTTAATAACTGGTATATTAGTATCAATTATTGGATATGCGTTACTCATTGGACCTAGCGATAGTATTGCTTGTAAGTTTTATTTGTGTATATTTAATTTGATAACAAAAAAAATATTTCTGTACTAAAATAACCTTTTGTACTTTTAGTGAAATACATTGGTATTTGTATTGTCGGATTGGGTATATTTGCTGGTATTCCTATATCACTTACATGGTAAATATATACTGTATATATTTAACACTTAATTATACTCACTATATTAACTAATATCTAAAAAAAATTTAAAAACACATTAATGTAAATAATACAAAGGTTAACGAATAATTTGGCAGGTGACTCAAAACGTGCCGTAGGATGTGCGATGATGGTAGCTTGTGGAAATATAGGTGGTGTATTGAGTGCACAAATATATAAATCTAGTGATGCTCCAAATTATATAACTGGTCACGCTGTTGCATTATCACTTTTGATTTTTGCCGTAATTTTATCTATACTTCAATATTTCTTATTAAATAGAATTAATAAATGTAAACTTCAAAATCCTGAAAAATTTTTAAAAGGATCTAATGAAAATGATGCTACTCATTTAGGAGATTTACATCCTTCATTCATTTATAGCTTGTAGAGTACTATCGCTTATTCTTTACAATCTTAATTTTAATTTCTTTGTTTATATTTGTAAAATATTTATATAATTGATTTTAATAAACATTACTGGTTGATGATTGAACTTATTTTAATAACGATAAAGATATTTTAAAATTTTCTTAAGGTGTACTTTTTTTTTTGGTTAGGATTTTAATAGATTTAGTGGGTGTTAAATATAGATGCCAAATCTCATTACATCATACGGTTCAATCTGCAATTCTTAAGTATTTTTGTTATCGTTATGCATGTCTGATATAAATGATATAAAATTTGATTCGATTATACGTAGTAAAATTAGCCTAAAATAAGAATTGGGTTTATTTTAACAATTTAAGTACTGAACAAATATTTATTATGGAACAATTAACTTTGATGGTTAAATGATTATCGATAAGTCTGATACACCAACTCGACAAACGGGAGTAAGTATTCATGTAACTGACATTAGTTTGATCATTAATCCTAATCATGTACGTGCGCATAACAGTAACAAATCACTTTGACCTCATTGGTTAATTTCATTTTTATGTTTACTAAAACAACACACAGATCATAAATCGTCTCGTTCAAAATTCCATACGAAAATTTATGACAAATATACCTCTAGGTCTTTATAAAAGATTGCTATTTAATTTAGAGTTAAAAATTTATCGATTCTTTATTATTAAAGGAGTCTTTTTAATAAAATTTAAAACATCAATTTATCGATTCTTTATTATTAAAGGAGTCTTTTTAATAAAATTTAAAACATCAATTTAGTGATATTCTTGAATTTATCAAAAAATTTAAAATGTGATAAACTTGAATTATTAAACCAGTTCCGACCTCTATGCACAAAGATCTCAAAATTCATATGTCGACTTCGTTAAATTATTTTGATCGCGTAATTGATAAATGATAGTAAAATAGGCGAACTTTTAAGGCCTTAATATTTCTTAAACGTTGTTTTTAACTATTGCTAAAACTTTACAAAAATGTATCTTCTAAAATTGCTAAAATTGCTAAAATTGATAAAATTGATAAAATTTATAAAGAATCTATAACTCTAGTAACAAATTATAAAATTTGAAGTGTATTATAACGATAATTCGACTATAATAAAAAATTATGTAACGAATCGTGTGATTGTTATGATAGGTTAATTACTAAATTTGCATTTGTACTTTATTTGATTCTAACATATGAACTAAAAATTTCTATCAGTTAAAACTTCAAAAAATAAACCGATTATTTGTAGTGTTTTTACCATTATAATGTTTATAAAACATGATACAAGCCCTCCAAACACCATATTTATCCCATATAAATGTATATTGTTATAAGGCATTGATATAATGCAAATTGAAAAAAATACTAAATATGGTTGAAAGTATTTAAAATTTTCACAGCTAAGGTGAAGATTATTACCGAAAGGCAAATTGAAGAAGAGCAAATTAAACTAAAAGTCTTCTTGATTCATTTGCCAATTTTTTGAATCTTTCTTTTGCTTCAGATTTAAAACCATTATATCGAATAACTAAAGAAGTTATCGACTTGTTTTTGCAAAGTGTTTTTGCCAACGCCTCTCCTTCCTCTACTCCAAGTTGGACATGTGAAAGATCCAAATAAGTCAGGGTAGTATTTTTGTAAAGTGCATTTGCTAGGGCTTTGCCTCCTTCTGATCCAATTGGATTAAACTGAAGGCTTAAAGATGATAGTACTTTGTTTTGGCAGAGTACCGTTGCAAACGCTTTTCCTTCTTTAAATCCAATTTCATTATCACAAAGATCCAAAGAAGTGAGATATTTGTTTCTACCAAGTGCCTCCGCTAATGCTTGTCCTCCCTTTGGTCCAAGCTCATTTCGTTTAAGATCTAAAGAACTTAGTGTACGGTTTCTACGAAGCGCTCCGGCTAATGAACTTCCTCCCTCCGGTCCAATCTTATTACACGAAATATTTAAAGATTTAAGTGTAGTGTTCCAACAAAGTGCCTCCGCCAATGCCCTTCCTCCTTTTGGCCCAAGTTGATTCTCTTCAAGATTCAAAGAGTTCAATGCCATGTTATAGCAAAGCGCTCTGGCTAATACTTCTCCCCCCTTTGATCCAATATCATTATCACAAAGATTCAGAGATGTCAAGGTAGTGTTTCTGCAAAGCGCCTCGGCTATTGCTTTTCCACCTACGAATCCAAGCTTGTTGTTACAAAGATCTAGAAGTTTCAGAGAAGTATTTCTGGAAAGTGCTACTGCCATCGCTTTTCCACCCTCTGATCCTAGATTATTATCACGAATATTCAAATAAATCAATGAGGTATTTTTGCAAAGCGCTTCTGCTAGTGCTCTGCCTCCCTCTGACTTGAGTTTATTATCACAAAGATTCAGAGAAGTTAAAACAGTATTTTTGCATAGCGCATTTGCTAATAGTTTTCCCTCTTTTGATCCAATGGTATTATTCCGAAAATCTAAAGAAGTCAGTAGAGTGTTCTTGGAAAGCGCCTTTGTCAATCCAGTTACTTCTTTTACAGTACATTT